CCCCAAAACCCCAAAACCCCTTGATGCCAAATTTCTATTAATGGTAAGGTAGATTAAATTATTAGCCTATTCTCAAAATTCATAATAATCTTATAAAATAAATAATTCTAAAGATAAATATCAATATACAATGATCAAGGAAGGAGTAGTAATAGGAGATGAGTATGTGTTACTAAAAAAGCTTGGTTAGGGGTCTCAAGGGACTGTTTGGTCAGCAGAGAACACTCTTAAATAAGTAGTAGCAATCAAATTTGTAGGTTATCAATCTTAATTCATGCAATTAATAGTCATAAGATTGAGAATTATTTGAGAAAGAGACATAAATTTTATCCTAAATTTCAGGCTAAATTTTCAAAGGTAGCATTTTATAAAATTAATAACACTTTGAAAACAGGGTTACCTAGATTATTGAATCATGGGTCGATTGGAGAGTATTATTATATCGTTATGAGCATGCTTGGAAGTAGTCTTTAAGACATGATTAATAAGAATAAGGATAAGTTCTCATTAATAACTGTTCTACAAATTGGGATATAACTCGTATATTAACTTTTTCACAACACAGAATAGTAAATTTCTTTTAGGTGTGTGCAATAGAGAATTTGCATAATTCTGGTTTCATCCATTCAGATATTAAACCTGACAATATTCTCATTGAATCCGATGACTTCTCAGATGTGGGGTCTTCTCTGATTTATATAGTCGACTTTGGCATATCTATTAAAGCAAGCGAAATCAGTGGAAGTAACAATATCTCATAAGAAACAGGGGCGAGCAGTACCGTAATCAAGAGGACTGCTCCTATTTTCAAAGGGAATATTGCTTTTAGTAGTACCAATTAGATGATGGGAAGATGTAAGTCTATTTTCAAATGATAATAGTGATATCACATCTATAAAATAATTTCTTATTTATAACTAACCCACTATTACATAGAAGCAAAGAGATCTGACGACATGATTTCCCTTTTATATTTGATGATATATTTATCAGAAGGTAGACTACCATGGTCAAGCCAAAGAGTATCAAAAAATTAACAAGAAGCATTTAGAAATGTTAGATAAATAAAATATCAGATGCAAGCTTATCTAGAGTAAAATTCAACAAAATGTAAAATACTTAATTATTCTTAAATGACCTAGGTATTTTCAGGACACTCCTTAAGCATACTTAGCAGCTTAAAGATCCTAATATCATTGATTATGCATATTATATAAATGAGTTAACAAAAGCACATCCAAAGGGTTTAAGGTCCTTCGACTGGGTTATGGACTGGACAATTTAAAATGAAAACTGGTATAACTCCTACTTTGAAAAAGAACTAATCTTCAAAAATTTTCTGAAAAGAAATGAAATAAATAATGGAGCTAAAGCCTTAATTTAATAAAAGAAATCTCTAACTTAACAAAATTTATACAGACCAGTCGATAGACAATTCATCAATTCAAATATAGTAAACAGCGAATCCTTATAAAAATTAAATCATGATTAAATCAGCCCTCTAAGACCTAACTTAGGAAAAAACTAATTCTTTTTTGGAAATAATATAAATTCTATTCTCAAGCAATAAGTATACAAACCATATCACAGATTAAATAACTCATAAGTATAAGAAATTAGCTAAGATAGCTAAGGCAAGTTAAAGACTTATGGAAGACTCAATCAGTAGGATATTTCTCAGTTATAGTAATAGTTAGTTCATAGTAGACATTCAATTACCGCCTCAAACAGAGATCTGATGCAATTCTTTTAGAAAGTTAATAATAACTAGCAATCTAGACATAAATCTCCTGAGAATTAAGATGATATAGGCAGTGTACGATCTCAGCTATTTCAATTTAACCTTGGATAATACTCTAGAGCTAATCTTAATATAGCTAGCTTTGTTCTAGCAAGTGAACTAGGGGATCTTAAATTTTCTCAAAATTTTATAGAAAACTACCAAAATATAGCCTCTCAATGCTGGTTTTAAAATTACTTAATAACTGACAATACATGCATTTAAGAGGATGATATTGATGAAGATTTGAATTCAATAGAAATTCTAAGAAACTAGTATGAAAAGTATAACACTGAGAGTGTTCCTAAAACTAACAATTTAAAGCTATTGATTGGAAATTAATAAATATGAGATTCCATCATTTATACATCATCTAATAATTTTTTTATTGAAATTAAAACTATAAACTTAATAGTGATTTGATTTAACAAATACGATTTTCTAAATAATTTTGAAAAAGGGGTTTTGGGGTTTTGGGG